TATTTACTGTGTGTCTGACAAGCTCAGGAAACCATTTCAAGTCACGTGTAACGTCTTCAAATTTTAGCGTCCCATACAGTAGTAATCTACAATCCGTTGAATTTACCATCTACAGCGCGCATATTAGCACTTTTGCCATCCAGAAATTTTACAAGTCAATATCTCCTTCGATGCTACACCCAAAGAAAAACAAATTCGCCGAGTTTTAAGTTTCACAAGTTCTTTCAATGTCTGGAGTCAATTCGCTAATGAAACAAAATGTGACAATGACATCAGTTGTTACATCTGCGTTACCGCGATACGTATGACTATCGGTTGGTCTTCGGTATGACCATCAAACCTGACGTAAAGAACATGCCAGCTCCTAAAAGTTACTCATTAGACAATCGTTCTTTCTCAAATCATGTTTTGTTCTTGTTAGAGTGCTAAATATCTGGATGACGATATCTCAAGTTATCCCAGGAGAATTTCGTATTATAATCCTCCGGAACACTCTCTTGAAGCACTAGAGGTAAGATTAACTGTTTACATTTCTTATGGATATTGATCTGGAAACGTTATAGACTTCCCGCTTTTTTTATTATCTTTCTGTGGACTAAGGTCTAGTATTACAATGTGGAAGGGCGCAGGTGTTCAATGGGGTCCGGCTTCGAGTGCCGACATGGTCACTGAGTGGTGAGCACTGCAAAACCAAAGCGTCTTCCCCCAAAAAAACTAGCCTGCAAGCCGGCTNTAGAAAGAAGTAGTGTGCGGGAGTGTCGTTTTATAAATCGACGAAACTGTTGGAAAACAGGCTGGGGAATAGATCTACAGTGGAATCCCGGTTTTTCGAATGTTTGGTTCAAAAAATCGGAGACTGAGGATTCCACTGTATATCTATTTCCCAGTCTTTTTGGAAAGGTGCAGTCAAAGAGAACTCAAAAACTCATTCTTCTTTTTGCCTTTTTAGAATCTTTGTCAAACAGCGTTTTCGAAGACCCTAAACAAGGGGAGTCAAAATCTTCTGAAGCAGTTAGTGGAGCCGATTCTGTGAGCTTGCCTGAGCCCCGACAGACTGAGGGACTTAATTTGTCCCGAACAGAAGATAATGTTACAGAAGAATCAAAAGACATTGCCATGGAAGTTTCTTCTGTGGAAACTCCGATAGAGTTAACAAGCGAGACTTTTGGTTCACAGAGCGATCAACCCTCGGCCGAAGTACCGATGGAAGTTGACCTGAGCGTCGCGTCCAGCGGTTTCACCTCTGCAGAGCAGACACCAGATAGTTCCCAGGCTGCCTCGGTGCTTAGTACTAATGAGAGCGAAGTGTTGGAAACTGGTCAACCGATTGAAAATCTGGAAAAAGAGAAGTTGGAAATTTTTGGTCAAGACTTTAAACTGAAGGAAGAAATGGGAAGTTCCGAAGATACTAAACCGTCCTCATTGAGTTCAGATTTAGTTGATGACCGTGTAAGTGTTGAAACTTGTAAATCAGAGGAGGGTTTAAAGGAAACATCCTTAGAATTCGACGAATTAGCGGCACAGGAGACAGTGTTGTATTTAGAAAAACCGCTCAAAGAAGATCAAGAAGCAGAGAAGTTGAGAAGCCCCCAACTTGACAAAAACTCAGCTCAAGAGAAGGAAGAAGAAGGGACCAAGTCCTCGGCAGACGTGGAAGATACTAAAATTGAAACAGAGAAAATTAGTGCAGCGAATGAAAATCTTGAGAATGACACCAAGCCAGAAAAAATGGACGCTGATGAAGACGTTGATATGGTTGAAGCGTCGAAGGTTGTTTCGCCGACGACCTTAAGTGATCCTGTGACATCTTCCCCTAACACCGTGGTAGACGCAACACAGGGCGGTATAGGAGTGGAGAGCAAGCGGGCCCCATTAACGGCGGAGCAACAGGCCAAGAAGAAAGAGCTCATGGATCGCTGTAATCATGCTCTCGAGTACTGTCTGCGGCGGTTCCCTCAGCATCATAAGTCACGCTATCGTCTGGCGTATGTTTACTATTACTCTCCTGAACATAAGGTAACGAAACCACCTTTGTGTGACGTTACATTAGATTAACTTCCCCAGTACCACAGGTCAGACTATCCTTTGGGGTACATTAACTGTTGCTCCAAAAACGAATTTCTCTACTACACCAAAAACCAGGGTCTTAGAAAAACTGGTAAGATCATGCTTTCAGTACATACCACCATAACTTGGTTTATTTGATCGCGTCACTGGGCGTTGACATTAAGTCGTTAAGCCGTTGGCCCTGTCTCCTATTCCGGCTCGTGCTTAACCTCATATCGAACATCGCCGTTCGTAAAGGGCTGGGCACGAAAATCCTAAGTATGGTGGTCTGCCCCGTTGACACTCGTTCACAAGCTGGGTAGGAATTTGATCGATGTAATTGCCTATCTAAACAAGCCTATTGATTACTCTTCAGCCCTACGTGGGTAAATAAAGTACAAGAACGCGCGGTCTTTTTTCTGCTGTAAAATAACAAAATAATTCCAAACGGTCGTAAAAACAAAATAATTGCATTTGTCAAAGCACCTGTTTTCTTATCTTTCAGGAGACTAGCGCGTGCCGTGATCTACTCTTGGGTAGCAACACAAGACAGTTCAAGACATTTCCCTTTCCACATCACGGAGTTTTTAACGAGAAAAGCAAGACAAACCTGTTCTCGGTAAGCAGTGTGTTGAGCTCTCAAATTGCCCCCAAAACTGCTGTTGTACAATGGTTGGTTTCCCTTCGGGGTTGGGTAGCAGTTCTTGCAAGGTCTCACATGAATGGCTCGATACCCTTAGAGAGAACAATAGAACAAACAACAGAAACAATGCCCCTAGCCCTGTTACACTAGCACGACAGAATTAAAAGCTTTAGAAAACTGCTACGCCTCCGTCCCTTGGTGGCTTTGTCATTTGGGCCGAAGACTCAAGTTAGACCGGAGACTACTGATACTCTTAGTCAACCCTTTAAATCCCAGGACTGATCAGAATTTCTCATTACAATACCAATACATTATCAAGCAGGCAGGTGACGAGAATAAAGAAAATCATCAGCTAAGTGATAACATTTTGAGCTTGGGACTGAAAGGGTTCTTTGAGGACCAGTGTCCCTGTGTTTTAAAATATGAAGTAAGAACTTTTTAAACTTAACAAGTTAAATGTAGAAATAAATTTTCAAGCCTCTTCCAGGCGCCCAGTTAATTGGGACACGGCACGAAAAAAGCGGCGGAGCGAAAAAAGGAGAAAGGAAGCGGCTAGAAACTTTCTAAAGGAATTTTTTTCGTGGTTCCAAACAATCTCTGCTGAAGTAATCAACTTTCCAAACAAGACTGAATGCAATTTAAGTTAAAGAAAAACATTCGCAACAGTTTTGAGTTTAGAAGACATGTTTCGACCGATTTTGTCAAATTCAGTTCTCAATCATACTTATTTTGAATTCAGCTTTGTTTTCTACGATTTAGAACTGAAGACAGTAGAAGATCTGTGGAAATCAAAACTGTTGTCGTTTTTCTTGAGCCTAGATTTTTTTCTTTTTCTTAAGCCTAGTTGACACTGGCGACGTAACGACATAAGAAGAACGTTAGGTCGCTATGTTTGCAGTGTGAACATCCTGACATAATGACATAATAGCAACATAACAGCATGAACATAACAACATAAGGAAAAAACTGATCTTTTTCTTGTGTCTTGAAGTCGATGTTCACATTACCTACATAAGCGATTATGTCGTTATGTCGCTATGTGTGAACCACACTTTAGGACTGATAACTTGTCTGCTGCTGTCTGGACCTTTCTGAATGTCATGTATAGTTAAGCTAGCACAGCAATTGCATGGGAATTCACAAAGGCCATGAGTTCGAATCCAGTTGAAGTCTCAAAATTTTTCTGAGCTTTCTTTGGAACCGTCAATGTAAATCCGAGTCCTGGGAGTTTCCACCCAGTTAATTTCGCTAGTTTTGGTCCTTAAATTTTCGAAAATTTTTGTACCATATATGTATGTATGTACGTACGTACGTACGTATGTATGTATGTATGTATGTATGTATGTATGTTTGTTTGTTTGTTTGTTTGTTTGTTTGTTTGTTTGTATGTATGTATGTATGTATGAATGAAAATTTAAGGTGGCTCTGAACCCTACCTACAGAATTTTTTTAACTTTGCCAAAATTTGCGTCTTATTATGCTTATCAAAAGTTGATAATATAAAAAAANATACCATTTATTTTATTGTGCTTAAGTCAAGATTAAGTGGTCAAGTGATCTTCAAAACAGTTCACATTGATCGTAAATCTTGGACCGGCGGTCAAACACTAATATTGAGGGATGTAGCATGACTTCGAGCCATTTTTCGAAGAAAGAACTTTGAATTTTCAAAAAAAAAATTGATTAAATTGCGCCGGTTATAGTTGTAGCTAGCAAAAAAACAAAAGACTCCAAGGTTAAGTTCTGTTTAAGGAAGTCCATTTAGGTAGTCCATCGGGGTAGTCCATTGACAAGGGGTCAGTGTTTTTATCATCACCCGTGATTTATCACCTAAAGCAATTCTGCTGTATGTGTGATGACGGTCGAGTATTAGCTTGCTTTTAATATCCTATTGCCATGTTCAGTTTTGCATGGCAAAAGCATGTTTATGTCTGGGGGAGTATATGCCGAGGAAATATTAGCTTTTCAGTAGCGCCTACTTAGAGCGCCATGTTAATAGCCCGAGGGGGGTACTACTAGAAAAGTTGAGTGGGGGTGTACGGTCCACTTCCCAAAACCCTTACCCTATTTATGACCAAAATTTGCGATTTTTGCTACCCTATTTATGACCTGGCCAAAAATTTGATACCATATTTATAACCGTTGCTTCTGGCACAGTTGCCCTAAACATAGGTTATAAAGGACTTTCGTTGATGGTCTTGTTGATGATGATGAAAACGTAGCTTCTTCTAAGAAACATACCCCACTCAAGACTAGAGTGCTAAAAACATACCCTATTTATAATTATGACCAAAACGTTTGAAAAACCATACTGGGG